AAGGCCATTATGATGTGTGGGTCATAGTTTTATTATTTTATTTAGGATTCCACCTTGTAACATAAGTTTCAGATTCGAATTTCATTTTAGTTTAGCGGAGCTTTGAAGTCCGTTTGCTTGCTTTTGCTATAAATAGAGAATGCTTGTAATGTTGTAAGGCAGAATAGAATCGAGTGAAATCAATACAAGTTCTCTTTCTAAAATACTCTCTCTCTAAGTTTTCTTTTCTCTGAAAGCTTGAAGCTTATAGTTCTTAGTATCGTTCCCCACTTAGATGCAAGTATGCTCTACACTTACCTCGAAAGAGGATCCTGTGTATCAGAAAGCATCCGATCTATGAAACCATTTTATCGCACAGTGCTCTTCTTATAGGAAATATGAACTTGAGTGGGCTTTTAGCCGAGGGATGGCACCGTTATGCCCGAGAATGTTCATATCGTCTGGATAAGAAGGGGTCTCTGTCCGAAATGGTATCAGAGCCTAACCATTTTTTAGAAGGGGGTATGATAGTAGGAATTATAAGTGGAAAATGAGTAAGAGAAACCTTTAAACATGAATAGCCAAACACCACCGTCAGAGTCTAGTTCCGTTGGTCCCGTTTTGTTAAACTCAACTCTTTCTCTTCCCATAAATATTTCAAAAACTCTTTCTTCAAAAATAGAAAACCTCATAGAATACTCCTATGTCCCAGAAGACGCTCAGATCTCTGAGATGTTCATTCCTCTCCTTAGTCCTTATAATATTTTTAGGAAACAAAGATTTACCCTTAGATCTATCACTTGTCTTCTTTCCACCAGAAGACCTCATGTCAAGGAGTATGTCCAATCCTCCAGGATGGACCAGTGTGCCTTAGCATCCACTACAGAAGAACAATATGTCAACATTGAGATCCTCAAAGATCTCATTAGGCATTGGCAAGCTGAGGGTTACACCCATCTCCATTATGGAGCAATCCGACTTGTCCTCTCTCTCCACGGAAGACGGGGATTACCTGTCTCAGCCAGAGTCTCTCTCTTAGACTCCAGCTACCTTTATTATGAGCATGCCGTTATCGGTACCGTTCTAACTACTCTTCATGCTGGAAGTGTAGTTCTCACCATCTTTCCCAACTTCAACGTTAGCTTGAAGGATCCCACAATCTCCCAGAGATTAAAGGTTCAGATCCAGATCACTAAAGCTGAATAAGTAGCTGATGCACTATCGGCTACTCTTCATCATCAAATCATATACAGGTTGCAAGATCATGCGATAAATCTTGCGCTGTAAAGATGGAACACTATTCATCTTGGCCAATAACCAAGATGAGACACCTTCCATAGTTCAAATTCCCAGAAATATCTCTTCACAAGAACTTCACAAGTTCATTCCGATGCAGTGAGTGACTAACCATGAGAAGCTCCACAATAATCAGAAACCCATCCAGTTCACAGAAGCAACATTTAGAAGATCTGTAGATGAAACTGTCAAAACTATCTTTAAGAATCTTGAAGATGCTCCAAGTTCTAGTACCTTCATATTCCAGTCAATGATGATAACGTCTGCCATCAAGGAAGGCAAAATCCCAATCGCCAGTGTGTGCCCTGATGGCAAACCTATCTTTATTGACAAGATACGAGGACACTTCATCTGGGATGCTGACCCAGACATGTGCGATTCTGACTGTGATTGTTGTAATCACTATGGAGACACTAGTGATGAGGATGATGATAACTCAGATAATGATGATGATGATGACTTTAAAGAAGGATCTTGCAAACCTCCATCCTCTCCCTCCAGAAGATTTGAACCTGGAAAAGGCCCGTGGATAGGAATTCACTGCCAACATGAGCCAGATCTCTTGTGGAAATATAGACAATATGTTGAGATCCTTAAAGAGGAAGACCTCTTCTTCTCCAAACAAGAAAGGTACAAAACCTCTGCCATGCCACATCAGCCTGTTCATATAGCTCCTCCCATTCCATGCATGATGATCAACCCTTCAGCCTTCAAGGAAGAATTTCCTCCATTAGAAAGGAACGTTGATCTTGTGTTCAAGACAACAACCAAATCACATATTGTTTGTCAAGAAATTAAACCGGATGGGAAGACCAAACCATTAAGTCAGGCCGAAGAAGTCCTAAATTGATAGACAGAGAATGCTCGAGCTCAGAATTCTATCTTGCAAAAAATTAATAAAAAAATAAGACAAGATTCACATACATCTAGAAGAGACTTAAGTAAATTAAGAGACTTAAAATTTACTTCAGTTATTCCAGTATATAATATAAGTTTATGTTGGTTATTACATTGTTTAATATAAATTTACTTCTCCCAACATCAAAACTTGATCAAACATAAAAATAGAAAATAAAATTTATAAAAAAATCTTATGTACCGGTACTTACAATATTATAAACAATAGCTTGCTAAGATATATATTATTCACACAATTATTATTTTATTTATTCCTTATATAACTTCAACATCAAATTATAGATATTCCTCAACGGATTAGAGGAAGAGATAATGAAAGAAAGAAAGAAAAACATGACGAAAGAATCTCGGATGCTCGTCACAAAAATATCGGTCAAATAAAAAAAAAAAATTGTGTCTTATATATTCTTTTTTAAAATCTGAAAAAGAATATAAAACTTTAATGAAAATTTGAGAATTATGTATGCGGATTTTTTTTATTAATGCTTATAGGAATATGACCCACATCTTATTTTTACAAATGAAGGTATTGAAAAGGTTGTTAACAAAAGAAATTAGTACACTTTTAAATATACTACTCTATATGTTAAAAGTTTTTTCTTTCTAAATGTATACATTGTTCATAAGAAAACATTAATAAAAATATTTGGTCACTGCATTGATTATCCATTAAAAATTAAATATAATTTAAATCCTAATTAAAATAAACGCGTTAGTAATTAATAAGAAGAAAAAGAAAAAGAAAAAGAAAAAATCTCTAGTTCCTTCTTGTAAGTATGTTGTTGTATATGTGACACACGCATGTGGACAATTTTGGCATGTAGCCCCTAGTAAGATCACTAGTAACAACATTTTTCTGGTCATGCTCATACACTAAACTTCGATCAAACTTTCACTTTTAAACAAAAAGTTGAAAAATTCGTACATTAAGAGCCATAAGAACCTTGTTGTAAAAAACCCTAATGGTATATGCTATTATTGGAATGCTTGTACAAAATTGGATTTTCAACATGTATCAAGTAAGATTGTGTTAGGTTTAAATAATGTAAAGTTTGATAGATCTAGCATAAAAGGGAATCAATTGAATAAATGACTTTTTCTTGGTTTATATAACTTTTTGTTTGGTAATTATGCATGAAAGGAATTAAAAAAAAAAACTTTATTTAGTTTTAATATTTGATTGGAAAAGAAAGAATATTTGTGCTTGAAGTTTGAAAAGTGAGATTATCTAAAAACCACATAGACAACAATTAATCATTTTCCAAACGCCAGAAATTCATTTTCTCATGCTACACTGGAAATATTTTCCATTTTAATGTTAAAGAAATAAAAATAGACGAAAATTGCTAGAATGATTAAAAATATAATTATTTATTACGGTTTATGTCATAAACTTTTCATTGTTTTAAATTAGTATAGTATCATACAAAAATAAAATTAACTTCTCTAGCTTAAACTTTATAGAGATTTAAATAATAATACATAATACTAACATTTTATTTTATAATTACCATATTAAAAATTGACCAAATCACTATTTTAATTTATGAAAAGATTTATCGCATCAATGCAAAAAATGCAAAAAGCTAAGTAATTGAGTTTTGTTTTGCATTTTGGAGTTAATGTAATGTGACTTTTAACATTTTAATTATTTATCATTAATTTATTCTAAATACATTTTTAATATCATCACTTAAGTCACGTGTTTTTTAAAAGAACTTTTAAATTAATATGATTAGTATATTGTACTTCCATGTGTTATCTTGAAAATTTCTTTGCTTAAATAATTATATGACATTTCCATATATATATATATATATATATATATATATATATATATATATATATTAGATTAAAATGTCAGTTATATTTTAAAAGTTTTGATAAAGGGTTCTCTATTATAATTTTTAAAATATAAAACTAAGTATTCTACATCTTAATCTCTGAATAATGAAGGTTATTTTGATAGGATCAAATTACTTAAAACCTCTTACTTTAAGATTTTCTTTTTAAATACCTTTATAAATATCTAAACACGTTTTCAACTTTTTTTTACTTCTTAAATAATTAATAGGATGTAACATTGTAATCCAATATCTGACTAACATGTGGAAGGGTGTAAAAAATATCTACACATTGATATTTGGAATAAAAATTATATATAATACACAAGTGTTTTAGAGTATTTGGGTAAAATATTTGAATAATTTTGATTTTTAAACTATTTATTCTAAAGAAATTTTAAAATAAATAAAGTAATGGTTTAATTTATAGTGAATAGTTAAAAATATGCATTGAATTTGTTTTGGATATTTATTAGTGTAAGACTGAAATTTACAAACTAACATCTATTGATAAAAAAAATTGTAAACTATTCATTATATTCTAATTCTATATTATTTTTAATATAGCATTAAGAATTTACATTTTATATTTTTTTAATATAAAATTATTCTATGTGAATTATCCTAACATCTAAACTTAATTATTAATATACATTAAATAAAATCTAATAAGCTTTCTGTCATGGGTGTAAAGTACATTAATTATTTACATATATAATATATATTTTTTCTGAAAAAGAAAACCCAACAAGTAGTCCCACACATTGTTGTACCTTAGTACCGTACCTCTGTAACACAGTTTCACACTTCCCAATCACAAACACAACAAAACACAATTCTTTCCTTTATAAATACATCCCTCTTCCTCCTTCTATCCCCCACACCCTCTCACCAACCACCCCCAACACCCACCTTATTAGCCCTGCACCGCCGCATTCTCTTCCCCCGAGATCTACCCTTTGCATGGCAGTGAACTTTCTGGCGCGCGATGTATCGGACCTCTGCCTTGGGAAGCCGCCGCTGAGGTCACTGTCTGCTGCCGCCACCGTCGCCGACGCCTTGGCCGTGCTGAAAAGCTCCGACGAGAGTTTCATCAGTGTGTGGCTCTGCTGCGAGCACGAGAAGGAGAAGGAACAGTGCAGATGTGTAGGAAAAGTGTGCATGGTTGATGTTATCTGCTACCTTTGCAAAGAGGACAATCTCTTGTCTCCTTCTTCTGCTCTTAACCAACCCCTTTCTGTTATTCTCCCTAAGGATTGCTCTCTCGTTGTGCATCTCGAACCTTCTTCTAGGTGCTCCCACTTTTCCCTTTTCACACTCAACAAACATTCAACATAAAAATGCACACTTTATTATTATTCTCATTCAATAAATTTTGTTAATATAAGCTTTTTTAAATAAACTACTCTAACATGTAAGATTTTATGAGATTTTACAAAATTTTCTTTTCTTGTGCTTGTTAATAACCTTTCTTACGTTTTTTAAATTATTTGGGATTATTATATAATGTATAAAGGGGTGTTAATGTAATTATTTTCAAACAATGAAAGGATTTGGTGTTAGGGTAGAAAAAAAGGGACTTTGAGTAATCTACGAAACTTCAAGAATACCAGTGTGATTATATATTTTTAAGGTTTTAAATTGTTTCTAGTTTCACCTTGTAACTTAGATATTGGGGGAAATGGATAAAAAAAGTGACTGGTGTTGTCACAATTATGATTCTGAATGAACACTTAAGTTCTTTTGATATTATGGTAAAAACTGCAGTACTAAGCTAATTTTTGAAAATCATATTTTTATTGTAAAATAAAGTTTTGAAAGAATTAAAAGTGTGATATTTGATTATGTGATTTTTCTACCCTGTAGTGAAGATCTCATATTCTTCCTTTCTATATAAAATGGCTATTTTTATTCTCGTCAAAATTAGAGCTTTTAGATGTTTTTTAATCTTACTTAATCGCGAGTCATTAAGGTGGAACTTTAGGTGTGTTGGATCAGTCAAGGTCAGAGTGGGTGTTTTGATGATTCAATCACGTGGCCTAAATCCGATTTCCCGCACTGGTTTTAAAAAATAATCAAGATTTAGAATCTGAACGAATCTCGAGAGATTATGGTGAAAGTGAGAGAAAACCTAGGAAAAATCAAAACAAAAATATAAGGCAAGGTTGAGTGATTCTTTTATGTTCTTTTTAATGTAGTTTAATTTCTTTCAATTGTAACCTGTCTTGAAATTGTTGAATCTGGGTGTTCTAGGGGCGGAGTTAAGTTTTGCTTCTTTCTTGCGTTTCTGTATGTAATGCAGATGAAGAGTAAGGTGAATTAACCCTTCTTGTTCTTTGTTTATTGATGATTCAGCTTGTTGGAAGCTATTGATCTTATACTCCAAGGTGCACAGAATCTTGTGGTGCCAATATTGCCAACAAAGAGGATTGGTGTTTCAAGAAGGAAACAGCATCTGAAGACATCATCAACTATCAACAGCCACAACGGTCGTGAGTACTGCTGGTTGACTCAGGAGGACGTGATTCGTTTCCTTCTTGGTTCCATTGGGGTTTTCACTCCACTCCCTGCACTGTCTCTTGATTCTCTTGGGATCATTAGCTCTGATGTTCTTGCCATTGACTACTTCTCCCCGGCTTCTTTAGCAGTGGGAGTCATTTCAAAGTCCCTCACTCAGCAAACTTCTGTTGCCATTTTGGACAGTGATGGGACTTTCATTGGGGAGATATCACCCGTCACCCTTGCTTGTTGTGATGAGACCGTTGCGGCTGCCATTGCCACCTTGTCTGCAGGGGACTTGATGGCCTACATTGATTGTGGAGGCCCTCCTGAGGATCTTGTGAGAGTGGTGAAGGCTAGGCTGAAGGAGAAGAATTTGGAGAAAATGCTGCAAGAGTTCACAATTTTGTCATCTTGTGAGAGTTTACATTCGGCTTTTTCATCTTCCTCTGACGAGGAGTCACCAACAAGAACACTGGCTAGGTCTGGGAGGTACTCAAGGTCATCTAGCTATTCAGCCAGGATGGTGAGGAAAGCGGAGGCTATAGTTTGTCATCCCAAAAGCTCACTTATTGCTGTAATGATCCAGGCCATAGCTCATAGAGTGAACTACTTGTGGGTTATTGAGGATGATTGTAGCTTAGTTGGAATTGTTACTTTTTCTAACATGTTGAAGGTCTTCAGAGAACATTTGGAAACCATGTAGATTGTTAAGATACTGTGGTGAGGTTTTGACTTTGGATGCTGGTGAGAAGCATGAACCAAGGTCTATGGACATGGCCCTTCTGTTGTTGACTATTGCAATGTGGTCCAGGAGGTTTGGTTTTTGTTGTACTTTTTTCAGTGTGTTTCTCTTCTAATAAAACTCCCTTCAATGCAATTCTTTGTAGAGGACCAGTTTTTCCTGCCTCAGTTTGCCTGAAAGTACTTCAAATGTTCCCTTCTCCAATGAAACTATTTTCTTTTGCAACTGAGATTTGTGCACCAATTTGGTCTAGATATTTTGTGTTTTAAAGTTGAAAAGCATTTGGCGTGGTTTGGTTTCATCAGTTTATTTGGTGTCTACAATTTATCTTAACAATGAGCTCTCTAAAAGTGAGAGCATTTCATCAGTTTATTTGGTGTCTACAATTTCTCTTAACAATGAGCTCTCTAAAAGTGAGAGCATTTTAAGATTCCTTGAGTGTCACGACACACAGATTAATAACATACATTTTGTCCCACACTTTCTTTTAAGGAATTAAGCAAAAGTCAAGTGTGCAAAACTCAGCTTCAAGTTAAATAAGTCTAAATCTGAATAATTTTGGAATTGACTTAAACTAATGAATAACCAAGTTCATGGTAGAGGTGACCCCTATAAATAGATTATTAAAGTCCATGTTGATCCTAACTAGTCCACCATTTTAGACGTGGACAATTTTGGACGCTATCGGAATATCACTGAAGTACTTTATTATCTTACTGTTTTACTGAGGCACTTTGTTGTATTTTCTTGAAGAAAATATGATAAAAAATTAAAGAGAAACGAGAGAAAATTATTAGTATGATCTGAATGATAAAAAATTTACAGATGATCAAATTATTTTTTTATGAAAATTATTATTATTATTATTATTTAAATTATTTTTATTTTATTATTATAAATATTAATATTATAATAATTATCTTATGGTTATAATTATTATTATTTTTATTATTAGAATAATTATTAGTATTTTATTATTATTAAATATGAGAATCGATTTTTCTACTTTAAAATTTGGACTAGAATTTGTTTTAGGTAAAAGAAGAATTTAAAGAGAAAATTGATTCTCCGTTAATAGTGACCACCAATAATTGATTTTTCCTTCAAGAAGTAGAATAATTGTATAAATGTATATAAATAAATTATCTTTCTGGTCTCATCTTCTCACCTTACTGATTATCCTAGGCCTTCTATCCACCCTCCTAAAATCTACATTCTCAAGTATATTCACAACACTAAATCAAATACAAAATTTATTCACTCTTTTGTCTATATAAATAATATATCAATGAAAACAAATAACAAATACATTTTCTTATATACCTCATTAGTTTTAGAAAAAGTATGAGATTGGCAAAGATATATTGGTAGGATTATATTTTTATTCTCTTGTTTTAAAAATTAATTAATTAATCTTTGACTTATGAAAAATATAAATTTAATCATTTTATTAATTTTATAATAATAAAATTTAGTATAAAATATTAAATCTATGTATAAAAACTTAAAATTATGTGTCATATGAATTTAATTATTTCATATAATAATAAAATGATATACATTAATTTAGATATAAAATGACCAAAATTATATATTTTTAAATTGAAAAGTAAAATTTATTAATTTTAAAATGTAAAAAAAATGTATACTTTTTCTTTTTCTTTTTGTTATAATGCTTTTGAAGGTAATAGACAATTTATTGCATCACATGTCTAAGACATCCCTTGCACATGTATCTTATCTGGTATCTTGTTTTGTTGAGCTCTGATATAACTTTTAAAAATTGAAGAAAAATAATGTTGGAGGAGTGTTTTCATCATTCATGTTATTCTTTTACACTATACACTACTTTTATTAGATGATAAATTATATAAGTTGATTAATTGTATGCTTAATTTGAAATTTAACTTAATTCAATCAAAATTGTTAAATAATGTTAATATAAATAGTAATAATAATGTAATTATTATTAATTTATATAATTATTTAAGAAATTAAATATGTATTTTTAAATATTAAATTATTCAAATATCAATAAATATAATAATATATTTTTTAAATATTCTAAATAGTCTAAAAAAATATAATTGAGTAGAATGGGTAACCATTTAATTAGATTTTCTTTTATAATTATATCAAATTCAATCATCAACATTAATTCAATCTCTTATAAATTTGATGATAAATTACATAAGTTGGGTAACTAATTTGTATATTTAATTTAAAACTTTGTTAAAATTATTAAATAATATTAATATTAATAATAATGATAATAATAATAAAAATATACTTACTATTAATGTATATACTTATTTTATTAATTAAATATATTTTAAAAAGTAAATTATTTAAATATTAAAAAAGATAACTTATTTTTAAATAAATATTCTAAATGAAAGCAATGAGGGGGAGATTGATGACAATGCGAAATATGTCCCTACGTTCCCAAGACATGATTTTGATGATATTGAAGTCAACAACATTCAAGACTCAAGCAAGCCCAGAATATGATTTTGATAAAGATTTTATTCAACATTTAAGCAAGCCCAAGATGATTCCTGAAGACTAGATAGAGTCTTAGAATACGGGATATGGAGGTACAAGTTGATGAAGTAATATTATGCATAAGCCTCCAAAGCACAAATGTGATAAAATTCATAACATGATATTTTTCATTGTCATAATCAATTATGATGCATCAGATATGGAAAAATGATTTTCTTTGTGATAATTGATTATATTGGTAACATAATCAATTATGGCAATTCAAATTTGAAAAATATATCTGTTTTGAAGAATAAATGTTTTTTAATATATCCTGATTTTTATTCACGAAAATATTAATGTCCAACGACCATTTTCTGATGCTATTTTTTTATTTAATTAAGTTTTGATTAAAAATAAAAAACATACAATTACACAATCGAAAATACAATCTACATTCAATCAGTTTTGAGAAAAGAATTCTTAGCAACAAAGATATTTTACACCTTCTGAGAAAACTCTCTTCTCTTCTGTCTTCTGTGCTTTTATTGGTAATCACACTTGTTCTTGGAGATTGACATTCTACAGGCTTCTACAATTTGTTGTCTCCATTACCCAGGTGTGACTATTCTTATCTTACTCCTTCATCTTTTGTGGGTTTAGGAGGTGTTTTCATCCCTTTGATTTGTTCAGGGAGGTGTTAATCCCTAGTGTGATTCTAGGGAGGTGTTCATCCCTAGTGTGATTCTATGGAGATATTTTTCATCCTTTGATTTATTCAAATGAGGTGTTCATCCCTAGTGTGATTCTATGGAGGTGTTTTTCTTCCTTTGATTTGTTCAGAGGAGGTGTTCATCCCTAGTGGGATTCTAGGGATGTGTTCATCCTTAGTGGGTTTCTAAGGAGATGATTGTCTTTTTAATTAGTTTACTTTTTACTGGTTTCTCTGTTGAGTTGATTGTAATTTGTAAACTGAATTTAAAAGATAGTGAATTAGGAGTCACTCTTATGATTAGAGTTGACTGGGAACTGGATGGGCTATACCCGAACCAGTATAAATTACTGTGTGCTCTTCTCTTTTCCTTATCTCTTTCTTTGTTCCTGATTATATTATCGCTTCCGCTTTATCTGTGTTCAAATAAATTATTGACTCACAAATAAATTTTTAATTTGACATCTATTTTAATTTGTGCATCTATTCACCCCCTCTAGATGTCATTTGTCTAACACTAAATAATCCAAAAATTTATTTTAAAATTATAAATTTTAATGAAAATATTTTTAAAAAGCTATGACTCAATTAAATGAGCTCAATGTGCATAATTGAGTTAGAAAATTGTGTCCTCCCATTTTTGTTTTAATTTAAATAGGTAATAAATTATAAACAAAATTGATTGAGTCATATTTTATGTATTTTTTTAATGTGGATATGTGTACACTTCTACACTTAGGATATTATTTGAAAAATATTAATACAAATTATGCTTATGCCTGGATTTTCCAAATAGTATTGGAATTAGAACACAATATATCTCTAATTTTAGAATTTAATATTAATGCCTTATTAGTTTTAAAATTGAGTTTATTTTATATGTTGTTAACTAACTTCAAAATAATATTGATATAGTTTTTAAAGTAATTATTATAAAAATTAAATATTTGTTTGATTTTTTAATTTTTTAAAATAATTATAGGATCAATTATGAAAAGCAGTTTTTAAAACGTATTTTAATAATATTTTAAATTAACACTCTAATTTAAAAATGATTTAAACTTAAAAGGATAATATTAATGAGATAAAAATCACATAAAAAATTAAAAAATTATTTTAAGAACTTCGTAATAATAAAGTGGAATGTAATCCAATATACTATTAATAAAAACAAACTTAAAAACATACTTTTTTTATTAGGTTTGATTTTTTTAGTTTTTAAACACTACAAATTTAAAATTATTTTTAAAAATAATTTTAATATAATAATTATTAAATAATTTTTTATATTTTAATAACTAAAATTTTGAAAATTATTTTTAAAAATAATAAAGAATAAGAGGTTGTTTGTTCAATGTTCTTCAAATCAGTTTTCAGTTTTTTTCTTTTAATTTATAAAAACTAACAAAGCTTGTATATAGTTGTTTAAGTAAAAAAAATTTAGAATTTTTTTAGTTTTTAAAAATTTAAAAATCAAAACTGATAAAATATATTGTTTAAATAGGTCATTTTCATATAAAAAAAGTTATCAAAATCATTTTTAGATTTTTGTCATCACTTTTTATTATTATTTATGTCATTTTTTCACTAAAATAATTTTTAAAAATAAAATTATCAAACAATATTTTCAACTTTTTTTAACAATAATTTTTTCAAAATTGATTTATAAAATTATTTTTAAAAACTAAAAAACAAAAGTAAATCATACTATTCCTATGTCTAAACAAAAAAAAAATAAAAATTAATTAAATAGAATTTTTTTAATTTATTTAACTAATTAAACTTATCTATCATTTATATGCACTTTTTCTTCTTTTTTCTTCCAAGTTTTTTTTTCTCTTCCCTCACTTACTCTTTGTTTTTCTCTTTTTCATCTCATTTTTTTTCTTCTATCCCTCTCCAACTTATACTTTTAATTAAAAATTATACATTGAAATTTGATAAAAATATATTAAATTAATTTTTCTAAATCTACGTTCAAACTAAAAGAAATATCAATTAATTATTTAAAGTTATAATAACAGTACATAAATTTTATTTATGATTATAATAAATAATTAATTTAAAATTATTTTATCATAATAAATCAATTACTTATTTATTAAAAAATATCAAATATTTATGAGTTAAATTTATTTATTTATTTAGTAATTTAATCATGTTATAATTAGATTGAATTACAATGATTAGTCAGATTAAATAATTTAAGAAAATATTTATTAAAAAAATATTTTAAAATAAATATTAATTTTTTTCTTAATAGTTATAATGTAGTAATAATATTTGTAACCTCTCAAAATCTATTATATAATATTTTTTAAATATAATATATTAAGTTATAGTATTTTTAGATATTTTAGTTTTTTAAAATAAAAAAATATTTATTTTAAAATTTTAATATATTATTTTTAATTAGAAAAATAAGATGAAGGGAGAGAAATAAGAAAAAAGAGAAAAAAATAAGTAGGAAATAAAGAGAGAAATGAAAATAAAATAAAATAAAAAGTAAATAATGAGAGAAAAAAAGAAAGAAAATAAGTGAAGAAAAAAGAAGAAGAAGATAATTATATTATATTAACCATTTTATTCTTTACTGTCAGATTTTGGATATCAATAATAGAGAGGTTTAGTTAAATAAATAAATAAATAATATAAATTTTATTTAAGTAATTTTTTAAATATATAATTTATGTGATTAATTCAAAGATATACTCTAATTAAGAATAATGATGACATTTAATGAGAATAATTAAAAAATCTAAATTAAATTTGAAGTATAAATTTTATTAATGTTAATACCTGGATAGATTTATTACAATAAATCAGATATTTAATAACTTCCTCAGATATTAACAATCTTCATTTTCTAACAATCCCAGTATGTTCAAAAAGTTTAAATTTTAATTTCTATGGATAAATTATCGATCATATACATTTAATTGATCTCGATTTTAATTACTTATTCATTACAAAATTAGTTATGCTCCATGCAAAATTAGTCTACTTTTTTGTTTATTAATACAATGTTTCCGAATGCAAATTCAAATAATCACAAGACAACAAGGACTAAAACAACTTATTTAATTGTAAAAATGATACCAATAAGCCAAATGAATGACCTTATAACTGTGTTAATTTTTTTTTAATGAAAATTAGATGCAATTGTTTCCGGCAGTAAGAAGACAAAGCTGTGGGGAGACTCACTTAAAAGATTATTAACATGCCTAAACCCCACCACGTAATTTTATCTCATTACAAATACTCAACTAGTCTAAATGCACCAAGAATCCAACAGTTACTTCATTTGAAGAACTACTGACAGTTCATTATTTCATTAATATTATGAAAGCCAGCAAAACAAAAATGAGTTCCAGAATTTTCTGAACAAAACAAAATCACACCCTTTAGCATATTGAATAATGATCACAATGTTGTGTGTCATTATTATTTTAAAAAGCTATAACATAATACAACATAGAACAGTATAACAGTATGACACTAGAAAAGTCAGGCATCTGATATACCAGAACCACACATAAAAAGAGGTGATTGCTTCTGGGGCTTCACATACTTTCTACATCTTCAGATGTATCTCTACTGAAAATTTCAGTCGGCTCAAGGCAGCTTCTTAGTGTGTCATGACCAAGTTGTGCTCTTTCATTATCTCCAAAGCCAAATATCTTTCCCCTGCTAGTGATCACCACAGTGTGGTACAAGCCAGTGCTAATTTGAGAAACATGGTGAGATCTCAAGGTATCCAAGATTCGAGGTTTCAATACTTTATCTAATGCCCTTCTATCCAGGAAACCGAGGCTGCCAAATCCCATGGAGCCAAAGCCATACACTGCACCAGAATCAACTAGCACAAATGTTTTCCTCTTCCTTGCACAGACCTACAAGTAACAAAGAGACATAAGCCCTTACACTATGCATATGATAGGACAATGCATGCAGTTTTATGTCTTGTCACAAGACTTGATCTAGAAAACAAATTGAAAATGTTGTAAACATTGATCTCAACAAAGATTGACCTAGATTATGGATATAATAATACCTGAACAGCCAGTTCATTCTTCAGACTAGTCAACATCTCTGGAGTTGTCTTCTCATTCTCATCCCCATGGCCTAAAGCACCACAGTATCCCTTGCCCCATGTATATACCTGGACCATAAATAACAAAATCTTAGTAATTCTCACAAGTTCTTAAATAATCCAAACCAAGAATAACAAATGAAACTATAAATATTTATTGTCCAATGAAACTCACAAATCCATTTGAGTCGAGGGCCACTGCATGCTCATCCCCAGCAGATACACGGACAATATGAATACCTTTCCGTCTGAATTTCTGTATGGCACGTGGCTGAAACTCATTGTGTTGCTCACCATGGCCAAGACAGAAATTAGCACCTGACCCAAAGGAGTATGCTGTTCCCTTTTCTGTTACGGATAAGATATAGCTTGGTCCGGCAGCAATCTGAACAACAGATCCAAGGACCTCAATAATTTTGGGTGTTGGCCTGTCCTGAGTGTCACCATGACCAAGTTGGCCATGTGTGTTGGTTCCACATGTATAAACATGACCTTGTCTGGTGAGGAAGACTGTGAAGTTAAGCCCTGCCGCAACCTGCGACATTCAGGCCCTTTCAATGTCTTTTAAGGGGATCTTACAAAGATAAACATCATAGACGGGAAACTGGTGGAACATCTTATGTGCCTACCAGCATGGACAGTTGTAGGGACTCTAGGATTTTATAGATGTGCAACTTGAAACAACACATAATGTCTCAAATACATGACAAAACACTTTAATCAAAGAATAAGAGCCACAATAAACTAACTTGGTTGGAAACTAAAATTACAAAATACTTTACTGTAGATTAATAATAACTTTCAACTCAAATTACTAACTTGGTTTGCAAACTAAAATTACAAAATACTTCTTGAAACAACTTTCAACTCAGCCAACAACTAGTCATCTCATCAGATTAATAATAAATAATAGGATACCAACCATTATTTTCTTCAACTCAGCCAACAATTATAATCTCTAAATAATATGGTGATGATAATGATTTGCACACCTGTTTGCAAGGAATCCCCTTAAGGGATTCAACAAGACGTGGCCTGAAAATTGGTCGGCTTGTATCTCTGTGCCCACAGCAAGAAGATGAATTATCTCCACATGTGAATACCTGCATCAGTCAAAGTTGACATTGCATGTTTATGATGGAAACAATTATTAATCATTTTACAATCTCATATCATCATTTTGCATTCCAGGAAAACAAAGCAACAATAGGTCTGAATTATCAACATGCAGACAAATTCTATAGACCTAGCATTATATCTAGAGCTGTTAAGAATTATAAGAAATTTGTAGCTAAGTTTTACTATTTAAGGAACACAATTATACACCCACTAATATCGCATTCATCATTTCCTAATATTTGCATTATCTCCCCAGGATCTGAACACCAGATGAAGAAAACGTCATAGTTGACGGATATATGTTACAATACAAAATTTTACTATTATGCAGCTCTTAGTAAGAGATATTAAAATAGTTAAGCCACTCGTTATTACCCTTCTTTTAACAATTTTCATAACTTCCAGTTTGAGGAACAAGATCCTAAATGCAGGTAATTTAGAGAGTAAAGTGGACAACAGTCATATGAAGAATTCTACAACCTGACCTTTAAGGGTTAAAGTGGATAAAGATTAAAAGATAAAAAAAAAAGTGTAGATTTTTTAATAGTAAAAGTAATCTGATTGTCATATCTGGATTTGTGAAACTAAATCCCATTATTTTATTTTTTTTCATGAATGGAAACCCACTTGTACTTGACTCTAAAGTTTTAGACAAGCCAAATCCCATTTACATAACTTATTCTTTGCATTATTAGAACTAAATAGATGTGCCGCTTTGTTTGAGCAGATAATTTTAATACGATTCAAACTGCAGCCCAATCACCATTTATTTGTAATGAGGAAGAATTTCACCTTTTAAACTTTATCTCGATTACTAAAAATTCTATTCAAGCATGACATGCCTCTGACAGTAGGATAATAGGCCCAAAGTGTGAAGTGCATGTGAGGAGGAATAGAAAATATGTTCGAAATGATGAGGTGGAGGAGAGAAGGGGAAGGATGACGTGAGAGAATTCAGTTATTTTAGGGAAGGAGTTGTTGAGGTTGGGAGGAAAAAAATAATCTTTTTCTAAGTAAGGAGCTGAGCTCTGTGGGTAGCGGAGGTTTCTTTACTGCATTTTACTTTAGTATCATCAATAATACATATTATTCATCCTTTCTCAGTCACTTTTATGTTATATTGTGTGAATTGCCTTTCTGTTTTGCATCAAAGCATTTAGTAATTACTGCAAAATGAAGCTTGGAAGCAAGCTTGGTGAGTAATTAAATTAAAGATTTCATTGTTCCAAATTTGGACTTATGCTAGCTTCTACAATGTGTACTTAAATACAAGACAGATTAGCATCTTCCTTTAAAGAAAAATTAAATAAAATCTCTCCTTGTGAAACTGTCACCCGAAAGTGAAAACAGAACATTGAATGCAGAGCATCTTGCCCTCGAAAATCAATAACCAAAATGAAGGATTTGGAGCACCTAATGTTTCAATCTAGCCAGCTAGCACAAAATGACACTGAACAAGCTCAAGAATACAAGCACTGGAATGGCAAAGAGTCAAAGAAAAGAAAATTTATGATAAGATATCCCGTTCCCATCTTCCAGCAAAAATCTTCAATTTAAGGTGAAAAACACATTTCTTAGACAAGTTGTTTCTTTGACCAGAAATATTCAAAAGCTTACATTTTTAAGAGCTAGCACCAAGATGGTTTTAACTAAATCACTAAAATGCTCCCATCACCGTGCTAAAGCCTTTTGAGCTGGATGCATGGATAAAGAAGAAGCCTATCTAAACCTTTATGCCAAGAGTAAGCGGATGGTGCCTATCAAGATCTTGAACACTCAATTGTTGAGAGGTTGTGCAAACAATTATCACATAAGCTCAAAATGTAAGTGCAAGCGTAATAATGGTTTATATTATATTTGACATTCCTAAGGCTGTGCTGCATTAGTCAAAATGAGAGTCATAGAAGGATATAGTTTGCTCCAGACCAATGACATGCTCATGACTAATATAGCTAACTGAATAAAGGTTAGACCACCACTAACCTCTCCAGATTGCAAGACAAAAGCTGCATGATTAAAAGAGGCCGAAACGTGAACCACGCGTGCCAAAGGTGGGAAATCAATCCGGGTAAATGCTACACACTGTGTTGTTTCAGGCCCTTGACCAAGTACACCACATAAACCAGAACCACAGGAATAGACAGTAGAATTGCTGATCAACAAGGTGTGATACTTTCCAGTTGTTATTTGCATCTGCCAATAAAATGTTTTTTTCATCATTATTTACAACTCCACCAGCTTTCCTTCAAAGGGACAGTAAGAAGACTCGATATGAAGCAAAAAAATAATAAAATATTCAAATTATGATATTTGTTCTTTACAAATCAATAAAATAATGTTTGTCAGTAAAATGTTCTCAGTAGTTCAAAAATATTATAATGTCTGTCGATGTATCTTCATAACATTTAAAACTCCAACTTCATTCCTTTTTTTTTTTATTTCCTGTTTGAATTATTTACAAATGCATTATTGCATTTTATTACAATAGTGACATTGAGAGTCAAAAAGGGGGTGGGGGCAAACCAAGTATCAACAACTTGTGCTTTCAAAAGCAAAAAGAAAATATCTCCACCTTGAAAAAACATTTCTTATATAATCAAAATAAAAAAGAAAAAAAGAATACACAAGGCACCTCATAATTCATGCAGGGCATACTTCTTTTATTTTTTTACGACAAGCAGACAAAAGTAATTATTTGATATAATGAAATAATACATTGCCTGATGATGTCTCGACCATCTGAGAGCATTGTTCCACAGACTGCAAGAACCTCAAAACTCGCTTCCAATTTCCTCCACATCTATCATACAACTCCCTTTGAGAATTCAAAGGCATCCTAGCATAGGTAACATGGGAGGCACACAATTGAAATGCAGCAAAGTCAATCAAGGACTTAAACTTGAAAGGGTACAAGCTATGACTACCACCAAAAGTTTTGGAAGTCAATTCTAAAGACACAAGGTCCATTGCACTGAGCCTGCCCGAGCACAGAATTTCTAAAACCAAATGCGATGGCAATTCCTCAACGGAAAAATGTCTACAACGGTCTCCCATTCTCAAAATTCTCCTTCTCTCTTTCTTACTCCTCACCAAAGAAAACTAGATGTGATTCAAAGAACCTGCAGAAAGATTCAAGTGACAGCAACCAGAAACTCCTCTCTGGATCACAGCATCAAATTTTGAGACGAAATCTCAAGCAATTGAAGCAGCATATGAAGAACACATCAGAGGGGAGAAAAACATGGGAAATTGAGTAGGAGAAAGGAGGCCTAGAGGATGGATAATTAGCAGGTGATGATTGAAACAATGGTTGGAAATAAAACATCAGAAGAGAACTAGTCACACCCCCCACAAAATCAACGTGCAAAATCGAAGATCAAAATGGACCTTCTTCACCTGCAAATTTACATCCAATACAGAAAACGCACACAATTGTGAACAAAAAAAGAGTGAACTTTTGCAACCAACCAAACACCAATTAGATCAAATTTAAATCAGCAAACACTGATCTAACGGACTGAGCACGTAAATGGTGAAAACAAACCGAGAAAGAAAAAGGTTGGTTTTGAGATCAGAACGGAAGAAGGTGGGTTGAATCAAAGAGGGAAAAGAAAGCAAGTGACGAAGGCGTACCCAGAAGAGAAAAAAAGCGAAAGGAGGCAAATTTTTGAGAAAAATGGAATAAGAAGGGTGTTTGGGAGGGAATAAGTGAAGAGGGGGAATAGAGAGGGTAGTGATTGATTGGCCTGGTGAAAATGGGAAAAAAAGGTTAGTTAGGGTTTTGCATATTGTGATTATTTTTGCTGCTATTTATTTCCTAGTTGCTGGGCCTAGGTAGCTTAGGCTTTCTGTGGGTTAAATGAATGTTTGGGTTTGTGAGTGTGTGGGAAACATTGGAGAGAGATAGAGAGAAATTGAGGAATTTCATGGCGTTGTTCTTTACTTTTCATTTTTGTTATGAAAGCATGAAAATGAAAAGTGGGGAAAAAAACAGGTGGTGTTTTGGTGGTACCTGCTGCTTAGATTCCATCTATGGTTTGTCGTCCAGGTTCATTACGCGTGGCAGTTTCTGACAGCGGCACGTCATCAACGGGTGTGTCACAAGTAGGGTTAGAAGAGTACTTCCAACCCATTAGTGGGTTTACGTAATTTACAAATTGAAAAGAGAAATGAATAATCCATTATTTTGTTCTTGAATAATATTTTTTTTATAAAATAGATAAATCATAATATCCCATAGTTTGTTAAGCATTGAATTTTTGCTTTTCTTAAATTAATCTGAGTTTAAGTAAAAATATAAGAATAGACTAAAATTGATAAATTATGGTTTTGCTGTAATGAGTCAAGTATCCACCAATGAACTTGCTTTTGGGTGAGTGAGGAGATTATGATAGGTTATGTTCATTCATACTTTCTTGTGTAAATAAAGTGAAAGGATCATGGTGCATTCCATGTAAGATACCAAACTATGAATTGACAAAATCATTTTGTTAAAGAAGTATAAAATAAATGCTTAAGATGCTTTATAAATATTTACTATGTATAATATTTATTAAATGTATTAGATTGTTTGTTAAATTAAAAAAAAAAGAACTTTTTGAATGACTATTTAAGGGAAATATTCAATTATTTTGATATGAAAATTAAAAAAAAAACTAAATCAATTATACTAATAATATAGTTAAAAATATAATATATGTAAATTTATTTATTTATTGTTTATACACTAAATTCAATAATAAAAATTAAATTTGTCTCATGTAATATAATTATTTTTCTCTCTTTTATTTATTTTCTTTTTTTTTTAGTTTATTATTTTTTTTCTCTATCCATCTTTTGTTCTCCTTCTCTCACTCCATCTTTTTATCTAATTAAAAATATTAAATTGAAATTTAATAAAATGAGTCTTTTATTAATTTAAAAAATAAAAATATTTAAATTATTTAAAATTATTATAATTTAATATATTATATTTTAAAAAATATTATATAATAAATTTATGATATTATAATAATTATTATTATATTATAATCATTCAGAAAAATTAAATAATTATTTTAAAGTAACTTTTAAATAAATATTTTTCTAAATTACAACTAAATATCATTAGTAAATCTAATTATAATGAAATAAAATTATTAAATAAAAAATATATTTAATTCATAAATATTTAAATTTTTTAATTAAATAAGTAATTAATTTATTATGACAAAATAATTTTAAATTAATTATTTATTGTCATAATAAATAAAATTATTTAATTTTATCATAATTTTAAATAATTAGTGATATTTTTTTTAGTTTTAATGTTGATTTAAAAAAAAGTTGTACTCTATAATATTTTTATTAAATTTTGATATAATAGTTTTAATTAAAAAAATAAGTGAGAGAAGAGAAAGGAAGAATAAGAGATGAATAAGAGATGTGAGATAGAAAAAAAAGTGAAAGAAGAGAAAAAAAAAGATAAAAATTTATAAAGAGAGAAAAAATAATTTATAAATAATAAATAGATCTATTTAACTAAATAAATTGATAAAAATTTTATTTAAGTAATTTTTAAAAAATATATTATTTATATGATTGATTTTCATTTCTTTTATTTATTGTATAAGATTTGAGTTAAAAAAATAATTCCTTAAAAATTGTAATTTTTAATATCTTTTTTATCTCTTCGTTTATTGTTTTCTTTTTACTCAAGATATTTCATCCCTTGCCACTAAACTAATTAAATTGGTTCAAGATTAAGTAAACAAAAAATCATACATAAATTAACTTTCAGATGACAGAAGGAAAAAAGATTATTTATAGTCGTTATTCAATTGTTAAATTTGTGTGTTCAAACTTTGACCAATGATGTTGAACACTTTATTGTTCCGAATATCTTTTATATAATTTCCTTCTTTTCACATTATATTATCTATTATATCTATATTTATTTATTTTCTTATTTGCAAATGAAGTTTATGTTACATATTATAGGTTCACGGTAAACTAGAGAAGTGAAAACAGTGAATTTATTTTTATATAGATTAATCTTGGAAATTAGTAGTTTTATGAGTATGTATATTTAACCAAATTAAATGCTTACATTTAAATCCAAAAAGTAAACATAAATTGGGTAGTGATGATTATTTGATTATTCGTATAATAATAAAATAATTAACTTGCGAGTTAAAAATGAAAAAAGATGACATGTTAAGAGAAGATCACATCCATTTCATAAGTAATATCAACAAACTATGAAGCTTCTGGAAAGACTAAGATTTTATAAATGGAGAATAAATTTAGATCTTTGTGTGTATATATATATATATATATATATATTCATGTTAAAGTTTATTTTTTTACCTTTTTTGTACAAAAATTATTTTTATATAAAAACAAAATTAATCATAAATTATACTTTTTAAAATAAATAACAAATTGTTTAATATTAAATATCAAAGTAATTTTTAAGTGTAAAATAATTTATAATATTGTAGGACGAATTTAGGATACGCTCCAAAGTGAAGAATTCAAAACTATAGTTGTGATTAACACATGTCCTTACTTGCAATGCATCTAACAATCTATCTATTCATAATATTTTGAAATTTGAAATAAAATGTTAGGTAGCATCTGAGTATCTAGCTGGTAGCATATGGACAATTTGTGGCTTTGATGTGGCACTAGAAAAAAAGTGATGCCACCTAAATAATTGTCACATTTAGCATTATATATCATGCAGATGGGGCATGTGACTCTGTTTCTTTTCTTTAACCACTTTCTTCCATTTTTTATGATGACTTTCTTCTATTATTTTGTCCCCTTTAATGTCAACAACCCTATTTTCAAATTTCAATAGTATTTTCAATATCTTATTGCTAAAAAAAGAATAATACTTTTAATGTGATTTTGAAAACTGCATTGTGGAAGGATATCCCTTGTTCAGAACCCAACAACTGTTACTGACAGAACTGTCAGATTAGGCTTTGTCGTGTTTGAAAGTAAACTAATTGAAGTTTGAACTTATAATTTAAGCTTCAAAAATCAGACCCAGCATTGAATAAACTACACATTCGATTTTGTTATTGGATTATGATTAAATTATTTGATTTGATTCGTCAAAACGTTGCTTATGACCTTCTGATCTTCTACCCTTTCATTCGTTTATCTGTTTTCTGCAAAGATTTTATTTGATTTTGTAAATAGCCACATTGCAGGTTCTGTTCATACCCCCAAACATGGGTATCCCTGATTTTTTGAATATGATTATTGTGGCCATGAAATCTATTTATGGGATTAAAACTTTGGAAAGTGTAAGAGTAATTCTGCATGCTTAATCATGATGGATTGGTTTATTATGATATATAGGATGTAACAAGTTAGGTTAATCTCAATTCTGGAAAATCTTTTATACATCACCACCTAAACAATTCTTTTATAAATAAAATAATAATATTTTATCCCGTATTTTAATTATTATATTATCTTCGTTCTTTACAAACCTGGTTTATTTATATGAATTGATTTTTGGCAAAATTTGGATCATGATACATAATTTAAATGTGTTAGAGTCATTATTTATTAAGCCAAATAATAAAGTGATCTGACTAAATTAAAAAATTTGGTTAAAGACATGTGTCATGAAAATAAAATTATGTAAAAACCATAGAACAATTTCTAATTTGGTGAGGGGTCAAATTAAAAATACTAAAACTTAAGTAATTAATCTAATTCTGGTTATTTTAAGGGGTCATGGTCCCTTCTGGAGCACGTAGACAGAACATAGGTTTCACTCCCGTTCCTTTCTTTCTATCCCCATCAAGAGAAAAAATTAAGAGTAAAATACAGATACTCTTCAGGTGGAAGACCATAAAATCAATATAGTACTCTATAAAGACATCATCATTATGGCTAATTCAGGTACGTTTTCGCATGCAGTTTACAACATGTTTATCAATATAAGATTACGTTTATGTTTAATAATTAGAATCAAAATCAGGATTATAATTATTAGTTTTCCAACAATTGGTATCAGAGCCGCCCATACTTGATTCATGTCTGTTTAATTT